CATGACTTTTTACAGTGTGCATCCTGGCCTCAATGCATTTGATACAGGTTTTTATTTGTCCAAGCGTTCCATTCAAACATAATCAGTTTTACAAGAAGTTGCACACATGAACATGGACAGAACTGCCACTGAGATTTTTGAAAGTTTATAATAATAGAATATATACCAACGTACGCATTTGCTTAAAGTGCCCCTATTATGCCATTTTTACGGTTCCTAATATTGTTTTGGGAGTCTCCTACAATATGATTACATGCATGCAAGGTCAAAAAACGCTTTCGTTTTCTCAAAATATGCATTTAATATTACCTCATTTTCCAGCGATTCTCAAACGATTCGTTCGAAGCATTTAAAAGATTCAGTCTCTCTAAACCCCTCCTTTCCGTGAGTCTGCTCTGCTCTGATTGGTCAGATGGCCTAGTCTGTTATGATAGGTCTACGGCGTACAGCGCGTGTCGGAAACGTTACGCCTTTTTCAATAGTTCTGTATTTTGAACGCTCTATAGAAAATATAAACATCTATTATTTATCATACTTACAGGTTGTGATTCAGTGGAGCAGCTGGTCTAAATAAACAGGATACTGATCCATCTTTCAACAGCAAGCGTTTTGTGAATTCCGCGTTAAACTCCCCGAGATTAGAGAAGCAGTCGTCAGTAGAATGACGTGTTTGTGGGCGGAGTCAAGTTGTTTGCGGCAGCCAACGTAGAACATAGGCGCGCATCATGCAAATATGTAGCCGTCACGGAAGTGGGATTCGAATTACTAATGACTCGTTTCAGCTGTTCAGAGTCGATTCTTTATTTTGGGAGACAATAACTTTATTTATCGTGCACTTTCAGCTTTACAACTTTGCAGATCGTTTACATTCACATACAGCTACATTACACACTGCATGAAAGGCAATAGTGGAAATGGCATAATAGGGGCACTTTAAGTTTCATTAAAAATATCTTCATTTGTGTTTCAAAGACAAACAAAATTGTATTTTGAAATGGGTTTGGAACAACATGAATAAATGACTGAATTTATAGTGGCACCAAACAGAATAGCAAAAATAATAAATGTTTTCAAACAGGTTTCCTAAACACTCTCCTCATCTCCCCTTTTTTCAAATTATCAACATATTCACTTGCATGAGCATTTCATTATGTCCTCCAGTTGAATTGAGTCCACCTAGGACCCCAAACCAATGTTCAGTGTACTAGCTTAGCATAGCATAGCATGCTAGCTCACCTTTTACCCTATGAAAGTTACTGATTCTACATGTAATCTATACTTCCTCTAATCAGGTTTTACAAATGGCTGAACCCAGAATTTTACAGACAGACTTGATTCAATATTTATATATGAAAATAATACATTTTATACACTGCTCTCTTTAATGCTTGATTCCGATTGATCGGTCTCGGTAAGGTGTGCTACATTATAACAAATAATATTAGGCAATAAACCCTTTCAGGGGTGTGTCAGGCACGATGGGATGCTCAAACAAATCAGTCCATGAATAATTTCCATTTAGATGCTTCAGCATTTTAAGCTGGTAAAGTATTTTAACATTGAATAAAATACACACTTCAGCTTTAATGCCATAGTGAAAATGTCAAGTCTGGGTCGTTTCCTCAGATATCAGTTATCAATTACGTGTTTAAAATGATATATACTGCTAATACCGCCCACAACAGCTATCGGGTATTATTATAGTATAATTAAGTAGGAGAGAAAGGAAAACTAGAGTCAGTATAAGTATCTGGTGTACAGCTTGTGGAGGCCAAACAGTCTGTCAAATCCTGCCGTAATGAAACAGGCATGCCTTCATCTATAAACGACAGCTGTATAGACTCCTATCCCAACATCATCAGACAGATTGAGCAAACAGAAGATTTATTAATAAGAGGGGCCGTAGTGGAAACACACACCCATATTCCATCATTTCATGTTGGTTTGATGAGCTGGCTCTATTGAGTTAGTTAATTGAATCTCCCACTTGCAGCCTTGATGTTATTGGGAAGCTTTTTGGCATTGTCTGATGAGCAGGTGCGCTGACACTCTCTCGTTTTTAGGAAAGCTCTGTGGTCGGAATTGAAAAGTGAATTCAAAATGGCTTCATCTTTGCCGTGTCTTGATATCTGTAATTAAAAAGCATTGTCAAGATAATGCAGTTTGACATCTCCCAAAAACAAGGCCCCCAGTTGAGTTATACAAAACAGCGGGATATGAAGTTTGCCCATTTAATTAATTTTTTTATTTGTTACATGGTTTCAAATCAATTCGAACACATGCTTTGACACAAAGCTTTTCGCTTGTGGTTAGTTATTTTTTAAATCAACTCTCTACAGAAATAAATTGTTTGTTTATTTGTATTGTAAATGGTTGAAAAGGTAAAAGCAATCTTTTGTAAATGTTTAATTTGTATGTTATTTTACAGAGGGCCTTGATCCAAATGGGGAGAATACAGGCTATAACTTTGCCTCCAATAGCAGTTCAGTTGCAGCAGCCATTTTAGTGCCTTTTATTGCCATGATCATAGCAGGCTTCGCTCTGTATCTCTACAAACACAGGTAAAGCAGTTCACAAAAGATGTATTGTTCATTGTACATTGATTTGTTTGTGATTTAGTATGAATATCTCTTCCAGAATATTTGGTAATATGCCTTGTTTACTTTCAGAAAAAGGCCCAAAGTACCGTTTAATGGTTATGCGGGCCATGAGAACACAAATGGAAGGGCGACTTTTGAGAATCCTATGTATGACCGTAACATCCAGCCCACTGATATTATGGCCAATGAGACAGAGTTCACGGTCAGCACAGTGTGCACAGCAGTATAGCGACCGCTCTAGTCAAAGGTGAGTCTTCAACCAGAAAGATCTGTTCTTAGTGAACTGCCTACACAGGTCTCAGTATATGGGAGAATTGACTTCAATACAGGTAACTTAAAGAGGAATGACACAATATACTAATAAACATAAATATGCATGACCTCCAAATTGCTGTAAAATAGTTTTATTATTTAAAATTGTATTTTATTATTTATTGATTTTTATTTTCTTTATTTTTTGTTATCAAATTGAATTAATTATAACTACAATCTAATTGAGTTCTATTTATAAGGACATTTCTCTTGCTTTTTCTGCCATCTTGGATTTTTTTCCACTGAGCTTATCGCAATGCATTCTGTCTTCCCCAAGCTTATGGAATGCAATGTTTTGAGTGAAATTTAAAAACTTGCAACTACTGAATTAGTATTATTTTTTTGCACTGCTTTCTGCAGTGACTGATTTTGATAAGTAACAGGTTATCAGGACCCCATTTGACCCTACTTTTGAAACAACCTTCACATCAGAAGTCCACTAGGTTTTGGAACAGAGCTAATAATTTGTTCTTGTGAAACATTATACTAACTGAGCTGGTTACAGTCTGATGATATTTTATGAATTTACTTTTTTTTTTTTTCTAGAAGAACTTGTTTCTAGGTTTCAAAGTCATACCGTGACCTTAGCATTCTGCATCCATATCTAACGTGTTTCATTAGACTACTGTATAAACTGGCATGGTGTCAGGGATGAAAAGGTCATTGCCGAACACAGTTGAAATCTTGCGGTATAATAAGCTGAATGAGGACAAAAACCTCAGGGAAAAGGAAAAAAGACATATATCCTCTCATAATTGCTTTGGAATGATTTAGGGGCATAATTTGCTGTATATTTTGCTATTATACTCAAACTGCCTTTTCAGCATTACTTTTTTTTTTTTTTCTAGAAGAACTTGTTTCTAGGTTTCAAAGTCATACCGTGACCTTAGCATTCTGCATCCATATCTAACGTGTTTCATTAGACTACTGTATAAACTGGCATGGTGTCAGGGATGAAAAGGTCATTGCCGAACACAGTTGAAATCTTGCGGTATAATAAGCTGAATGAGGACAAAAACCTCAGGGAAAAAGGAAAAAAGACATATATCCTCTCATAATTGCTTTGGAATGATTTAGGGGCATCAATTGCTGTATATTTTGCTATTATACTCAAACTGCCTTTTCAGCATATAGTTTGTTTGAATGTTGAGCGGGGAGTGGGGGAATTAAAACTGGAGAAAATGTACTTCTAAAACTGACTTTATCACCCTGGTTTTGCCCTCAGACAAAATGGAAAACAAACTGCTGAGGCAAGGGGATAAGGATAGAGAAGTATTGAATTTTAATGTATTTATTTCAGCTGGGTCTCTCCTTTTTTGTTTTTTTTAAAGAGCACCTCTAAGCCACAGACTATGAATTTGGGCAGGATTTGTAATCGTTTTCCACTTGTATCCCATGTATTTAAATCTGTTATGCTGATTTGAACCTGAAACAGCTCTTCTTCATGTGGAAACATGCTTTTCTGCTGTTTGAGGATTTTTTGTTATTGCATTCCTAAATTACATGAGTTAAAAATGTACCTTGCTATTGCAGTCTGTTGTGATGATGTTAGTCTGATACTGTTGTGTTGAGCATCTCTCTTTCTCACTCCTTCTGTTTTTTTTTCTCTTTTTCACCGTGTCCATCTTTGTTTTTATGTCTTTTCCATCTGACAAGCAGTGTTGCGCAGTAACTAACTAAAGCCCGGCTCACACTGTGCGATTTTGGCCACGATTTGGTCGTCTGAGACAAATTTTGAAAATCCTAAAAGATTCCTATAATCCTAGGCTAAAATCTGTAGTCTTTGATCGTTAGTTTGACATGTTCACCGACAGCCGATTAATGACCGTTGCGATCAGATTTTACCTCCGACGAACTTCTGACAGTGTCAGAAGATTTGGCGCACAGTCCTGCAGTGTGACATCTCCTACGACGAACGTCAAACTGTCTTCGTTTTTCAAGACAAGCCATGATCAGAATTAATGCTAGAGATTTCTTCTAACCGCATAAACTCCGGCGCTCCCGTCCTCCGTTCACGGAATTCATCTGATATGTTGCCTTTGCTCTGATAAACACTGGTTGCGCTGCTGTTTTCATGTGGGTGTGTAGTGCTGCTTGCACTATTCTGCATAAATACAC